ATAGGTCAAACATTGTAGTCCTTTATATTCATATTATTTTATGTAATTGTGTTCAGTCAGTTAAGAGACAAAAAGAGGAAATATGCATTTATGGTATCTACGTTATCTTCTATAATTGCATAATTACTTTTACTGGTATTCATGTGGATGACTTGTTTTCTGTCTGATAAATTTTTTACATTTAAGGTGCGTTTGCTAGCAACGTGTTTGTGTTTTGTTTTTTGTTTATCTGGTGAAGTTTTATATTTTTCCCTTGCCCTCTTTATTGTTGAACATTAGCGTTGCTGGATGTAGGATTTCTGGCTAATTTTTAAAATTTATTTTATTTATTTATCTTTTTGCCTTTGAGAAGTTAGAACACGGTATTCTTCTGACTTTCTTTTTTTGTTTTTTTTTTGGTTTTTCTCCGGTACCGGGAACCGAACTCACGACCTTGCGCTTGCCAGGCAGGCGCTTTTCTTCTGACTTTCAAACTTATGGATTTTGCCAAGAAGTCAGTTGTTAATATTATTTGAGTTCCCTTGTAAGTGACATGCTATTTTTTCTTGTTCCTTTCAAGATTTTCTCTTTGTCTTTGAGTTGAAATGCCAACATTTCCACTGTAATGTTTATGTTGGTAAGTCTCTGCATTCATTCTACTTATAATTTGTTGAGATTTCTGGAAATGTTATTGGTTATTGTTTTTAAAGAAACTAGAAAGTTTTCAGTGATTATTTCTTCAAGTAGTTTTCTTCTTTTTCTTCTCTCCTTGTATTCCCATTTTGGTGTGCTTAATTGGTGTTTTGGTGTGCTTAATTGGTATCCTACATATCTTTGAATCTCTATTTATTTTTCCTAATTCTGTTTTTTCAGCCTGTTAAGGCCCCTTGCAAAAGTAATTATGCAACTGATAATCCATATTGATATATCTTCAAGTTTATTAATTCTTCTGTCAGTTTGCATTTATTGAGCCCTGTGTAATGTTCTAGGGCTATCATGATGAGGTATAACAAAAATGTGTTTTTTCACAATTCTGGATTCTAGAAATCAGATAAAGTTATCGTCAGGGTTGGTTCCTTAGGGGAATGAAAGAATGATCTGTTCTAAGTCTCTCTTGGCTTGTAGAGGATATTTTAATGTTCATATCATGTTCTGCCTGTTTGAGACACCAGTCATAATAGACTTAGACCTATTCTAATTTCCTCATTTTATCTTAATTTCCTCTTAAAAACCTCTTAAAAATATCTTCAAATATTGTCACATTTGGGAGTATTGGTGGGTGGGACATCAGTGTATGAGTTTGAGGAATACAGTTCAACCTATAACAAGCCCTTCTAGTAAATTTCTAGTCTGTTACTGTATTTTTCAACTTCATAATTTTCATAATTTATTGATATTCTCTATTTGATGCTATACTGTCTGCATATCCTCTTTTACTTGTGTAGTCAGCCTTTCCTTTAGCACTGTGAACATACTGACAGTGGTTACCCTGAAATCTCTGTTAAATCTGACATTTGCTCATTCTCACAGTTTCTGTTCACTTTTTTTTTTTGGAGGATGGATTATATTTTCTTTTTTCTTCACGTGTCTTTTATTTTGTGTTAAGAACCAGACATTTTAGATAATACATTGTAGCAGCTCTGTGTGATGGCCTGCATCCACCCTGTTATTGGGGGCTGTTGTTATTTTCTTGTTACTATTTTTAGTGACTGCTTGGATTATTTATTCCCCACCCCAACCTTAGTGGGAAGCCTTTGCTGTTGCTGTTGAACAGGCATGGTTTACCCCCCCCTTTTTTTTTTAAAATAATACATTTAGTGTTTATTTATTTGAAAACTAGACAGCTTAGTATATTGTAGAATCAGTCTCCTTCCAGTACGCAATCACTGATGTCTGTGCTTAGTTTGTTGTTTTTATTCTTATCTTTTAGCTTTGATTCCTAAGTCATTTGAGGTCTGTAGTTTTAGTTTATATGTGCTGCTGAAGCGAGCACTTGATGTCTCTATAGGTCGGTCAGCCAGAAAATGATTTAGACAAAAGTTGTCCTGATACACTTTGAGTCCCTAGAAGTTCTACTCTCTGTTACTTACTGTGTGGGTTAGTTTTGGAATGCATTCAAACTTACAGCCATTTCTCAACATTTCCTTGGCTTTTTCTTTTTACAAAGTTACGTGTTCTGTACACATGTAATTTTCTAGTCAGCTAGGGATTTGTGGAGATCTTACCTAAATCCATCTATGCCTTTTGCTTTTCAGCTATCACCCTTGTTAAACTGCTTATTGATCTACTGTTTGCCTCATTTTGGACTACATTGTTATTACAAAGCCGCAGAATTTCCCTGTCCATTTTTGCCAAGCCCATCACTTTTAGCCAGCATGACTATAGTTTTTCCTGTCCCATGAACTGATTTTGCCTTTCTGTCCCACAGGTATAGGTTCACCAGCATCAAATGTTAAACTAAAGATCTCATTGACTGAACTGGAGGCAAGGGTGATGGGTGTAGCTTAAGGCAAGGCACAGATTGCCTATAATTTGCAGTTTTTCAACAATCAACAATTCCAAGTAGACAATTTCCAGTGGCCTGAAGAGGATGATTGTTTTTTAAAAACAAATTGTTTTTTATTTCCTTTGTGGAGGGATATCACTCACCTCTTCATACTACCATTACTTTTGATGATATTTTGAGTGTCAAATGATAGAATGGTAGATTTTATAAAGCAGATGATAGATTTTGTAATGTGTTAGATTTTATAAAGTAAGCAGCTTCATTATGTCAGATTACATCTAATTGTGTTCCATACAATAGTTGTCAAACTTTTCTTTCCATTATTTTTGAAAGTTATTATTCCTGTACATTTTGTCACATTTTAACATATCTAGTCTATTAATAGACATGGTAGAATAGGTTAATATAAAAGCCTACTTTAGAAATGATCTGATAAAATTAATGTAGCCATATTGATGAAAACAAAAAGATATTTTGTGATTATGCATATTTTTCTCAGCTTATTTCCTATCTATCAACCTACTTATTTATTTATTTATTCATTCATGTGGCGCTAGGGATTGAATCCAGGGCCTCATGCATACTAGGCAAGTGCTCTACCATTGATCTATATCCCATCCCTTTCTACTTTACTTTGAGACAGGGCTTTACTAATTTACCCAGGCTGGCCTTAAATTTGCAGTCCTCTTGCCTCATCCTCCTAGTAGCTGGGATCATAGATATGCACCACCATGATTGGCTTTTTCTAGCTTTTGATAGTGATAGTTCAGGCAAATACCTCTGCAGAAACTGTTTCTTAATGTACAGATAATTGTACTTACTAATTAAAGAGCTAGATCATACCTAGACTTCAACAATATTCTTTCTGTAAAAAGCATTATACAGAATCTTTTACTTTTCTTTCTGATATGAGGGTCTCACTCTGTTGTCCATGCTGGTCTTGAACTGCTGAACTAAAGGCAGTCCTTCTGACTCAGCCTGCTGTGTAGCTGGGATTATAGATTACCTTACTTGTAAATATAAGACATTAAACCTATAAACTAAATTGGAAATATACTGTTATCAGTAAATTTGGCCAAGTAAATATTTTAAATTTCCATATTGAGAAAACTTAACATAAACTTAGTAAAGAAGATAAACAACAAACTAAGGGGAAAGGCATTTGAATCATTTTGACTAGACGGCTAATTTCTTTGATATGTAAAGAAATCTTACAAATTAATTTAAAAAAAAAAAACACTCATTGGGGAAAAAAAGTCCAAAGAATACAAACAGGCAGTTTACAGAGAAAGAAATATAAATGGATATTAAACACAAAAGAATGCTCAGGCTTCTGAAGAAATTCAGAGTAGATCAAATATAAAAGTTCTATTTTCCATTAAATTAGCAAAAATTTTAAAACTTGTTAATATTTATTATTAGTGAAGATGTGAGACAAATGAGCTGCCCTTATTATTACTTTGAAAGCAACAATCAGAATTTAAAATACACATGCCATTTTGTCCAGTAATTTGAAGTATAATTTAATGAATAAAAAGAATATTAATCACTGCATTTCCATACCAAAAAAAGCAATCTCTTCAGTGAGGCTCTATCAAATATCAATTGTAGGAAATGATGTGAATCTATTTGTAGTGATTTGTAGTAAGAAGTTCATGATTTTTTTTTAAAAAGCAAGTTTTTCCTTTTTGTATTATGTCTGATTATGTTTGTGTATTAATAGAAAGTATCAGGAAGGATATGCAGAATTCTCTGCAAAGTGTCTTTGAAGAGTAGAGTTAGTGGGTGGGATTGGGAAGTGTCATGTTTCCAAATTGCTTACTGTAAAAAAAAAAAAGTACATATTAAATTGATATTTAAAAAACAATATACATTGTATAATACATGCCAGTTATGATTAAGAATTATGTTATATATTTATAAATGGATTATAGTGAGTTTTCTGGTTTGTTTACTAGTTAGGGGTTAAAATATGAAAATTTGTTAATTTACCAAGGGTAAGGGGAGTGTTTTCTATTAGTTGGAAATTATGTGTAAAGGGATAATTTCACTCTTAAGAATTGAAACATCTTTGAAAATAATAATCTAGTTTAATGAATCATGCGATTGAAATATATATGGCATATTAAAGAAGTTTTATTGCTGGGAGAGGAAAAATTTAATAATCATCCAAACCATTTTACACCAAGTATGTATCCATTATTAGCATATCTCGTTTAAAATTGTTAATTCGAGAATAAAGTTTAATTAGATTAACAATACAAACTTTTGAATCTATGCAAAGAGACAGTAAAACAGTTTTTTTAAAGGCAGTAGATACTAAGTTTTTCAATATTTGTATCTCACATATTTAATTTTTCAATCTTTGTGGAGTTTACTTATAACAGGCATATTTATAGTTATTTACACACTTTCAAACTTTTTAATACTTCATGAAAATCATAAGTTAAAACTCTAGCTGTATGTGTATAATAAGGTTTTTTTTTTTACAATATGGAATCAAATTTTATCACAGGTTCCGTCTTGATATATATCGATGTTTGGCCAGTCCAGCTCTAATCATGTTAACAGAGGAGGATCCAATTCTGAGAGCATTTGAACTTAGTGCTGATTTAAAAGAACTAAGCCTTGTGGAGGTGGAATTCAGGTGGGAACAAATGGAAATTGTAAATGATATAATGTCTTTTAATTCAGAATCTTACTCATCTGGAATTTTTCCAAAGGCTGAATTATAGTTTACGTTTATTTATATTTCTTCATACTTGATCCAAGATGACTGCACCTTCTTGTCACTTACATGGAATTTTCCTTCTTCAAAGAAACAGAACCTGGTGCTATGTAGGTCATTTTTTCCAGTTGCCCTCTGCCACTCATTAGCCAGCTTTAAATCCCCAAGGAAGCTTTAAAAATTTTCCTTTATGGCAGAGTATCCCTGGTGCTGTCTGAAGAAGGAGCAGTTAGGATTTCTTCCCAGACATTTTTGCAAATTTTCCACAAGGCTCTGTACCTAAACCCAGCTCCTATAGGAGCTCGGTGTCTTACGTAGCACCCCTTCCCATGACTTGACAAGATCAGAAAGTTCAAAATTCCACTTATTGGAAGGATGATAAGAAACTTGCCATTTTCACCCAGGCATGGTGACTAAAGCCTGTAATCCCTGTACTTGGGAGGCTAGGAAGATCACTAGTTTGACCTCAGTCTGGGCAACTTAGTGACTTCATGAGACCCTGTTTTAAAATAAAAAATTAAAAACAGGGCTGGGGATGTAGCTCAATGGGAAAGCCCTGGATTTAATCCCTATTAGCAAAGGGAAGGGAAAGACAGAGAGACAGAGAGACAGAGAGAAAGATTTTCTGTAGCCGTAGCAGCAGCAGTACATAGTGTATTTTTGATAGTTCTCAATTGCAGAAACTTATAAATAAAAGATACCCATTTATAAGTTTTCAAGTTTAGAATTGCTTTAATTTAGATACATTAAATTTACTTTAAACTTGATACACCACAAAGTATGTACTTTAATGAATTCATTAGACATGGTTAAAAGGTAGTATTTTTGCCTTTATTAGCACAGAGCTATTAAGTAATCTGTGTAGCCTTTCCTGTTGTAGTCTTAGAATTTGAGTTCAGCATTACCATGTGTGTTGATCAGGTTTCTGTTGCCCTGACCAAGTACAGGAGGAAAGTTTGATCTGACTCACAGTTTCAGAAGTTCAGTCCATGACCAACTGGCTCTAGGTGGAAATATTACAGTGACAGAGTGGAAAGCTGCTCACCTTATGGCAGCGAGAAAGCAGAGAGGACACATCCTTCAGAGTCAGAGGCTTAGTGACCCAGTTCGTCCAACTAGGTGCCACCTCCTAATAGCATATTCAGCTATGAACTCACTGGTGGATTAGCCATTGATGAGGTTAATACCCTATGATTTAGTCACCTTTCAAAAGCGCCACCTCTGAACAAGTCAGTATTTTGGGGAACATTTTTAATCCAAATCATAGCACCATATAAAATAGAATTCATTCCAAAAAAGGATTTCAACCAACTGCTATGATAATATTATAGTTACACACTAATTAATTTAGAATTGGAAGTGACCACAGAACTTCAATCCAGTGTTTTTATAGACAGAGAAAAGAGATCTATAAGATAGATGTTCCACTAAGATCAGCATCTAATTAGGAACAGATGAAACCAGAGGTAGAAGCAAAGTTATAACTAGAACATATGACTCCTTGCTTCTAGTCTACTATATTTCTGTCTAAATGATATAGTCACTTGTTTTCCAGTAATCTATTAGAGATTAAGTGAATTAGGTTAATAAAATGTATTAGTTTTACCTGTGAATCTAGTGATCTATCAAACATTTAAAGATGAGGTGGCTGTTTAATAATACACTCTTTTGATGATTGTTTCTATCTGCAATTAGGTTCTTAAATCAAGAAACAGGGACTACTTCATTTGAATGAGTCCAACTGCTTATTCTCAGGTTACACAGTAAATACGAAGAGTGAGTGAGAGAAATGTTAGCCTGTAAGGAAAAGAAGTTTTTATTCTTTGAGATAGAACTTTATGGAAAACTCCACTGCCTAGAAAGACTAACCAGTGGGAAGTTCCTGTTTTTCCCTTTTTTTCTCTTGGAGGTAAAGAACTTTAAAAAAAATTAGTTTCTGAAGTCCAACTTCATGCCCATAGTTGTTTCTTTCTGACCTAATTCTTTTTTTTTTTTTTTTTTTTTTGTACCAGGAATTGAACTCAAGACCTTGAGCTTGCCAAGCAAGACTGTGCCACTGAGCTATATCCCCAGCCTCTGACTGAATTCTTAAATTGTTATTAAGTTTAGACATAAATTTAATGTAATCGATATTTACAAAAGAAATAAGCAATTCAAAGAGAACAATAATTCTAAAAGTTCTGTAGTAGATACATTTTAGTATCTCTTTCTAACTTGAATTTCATTCCAGTGAGCATTTAAAATATGAATAAAGACATTTTAATATTAGAAGACCATACATGTATTGTAGACTACTGAAAACTCGTCTAAAAATTATTTTATAATAATAACTGAATAGCATTAAAATATTTATTCTATTATTTATTTGAGTAATACAAAAGGAATGTAGCCAAACTTAGAAAATAAGAGCAAGTGAGTTAAGTAAAAAATGGTTGGCAAATACTACTAAAATTTCTAGAAAAATCAGTATACATAAGGGATATTGTGCTTATCTGAGATTATCAGTATGAACACAGGGAACGTAATTGTCTTACAGTTTCTCAAAAGCTGTGGAAAATTCATATACCAGTTGCATCCTTTGTCTGTAAGCAGAAAATGATCAAATTTTGTGTAGCCCTATCAGAATTAAAATGATGCTCAATAAAAAAATTTCTACTGACTATAGCTTAATTAGAGATGGAAATGACATTTCTAATAATAAATTACTAAATTTTGTAGGAATGATTATGAAGAACTAGCCCGTCAGTGCAAAATGTTTGCTAAAGACTTGCTTGCCCAAGCCCGGAATTCACGTGAATTGGAAGTTATCTTAAACCATACATCTAGTGATGAACCTCTTGACAAACGGGGACTACTAGAGGAAAGAATGAATTTAAGTCGTCTAAAACTTGCTATCAAATATAACCAAAAAGAGGTAAGAGGCTTTTTGTGAATTTTTTTTTCTTCCACTATAGTCTAATTGCTCACTGCAAAGGCTTTGAAACAGCTTACCACAGTGAGTACTAGTATTAAGCAAGTACCCGACAAATGGTAGTTACTATTATTTTTAATAATACTAGTTAAAATAATATGGTTGTTGATTTAATGTTTTGCTAAATACAAGTAGTAGCTATACAAGTAAGCCTCTATAGTGAAGTTTCCACCTTATGTTTTATCCGACATAGGTTTATTGTATTGATCTGGTTATGAATCACTTTCTATAATATTAATAACTTCTATTAAAAAGAAAGTATTATGTATTTCCTTATTCTTTGTATTTGTAATACATTGTTAAACCCAGGGGTAGAGAGACATATGGTATAATTAAGTTGAATCTGATTCTTCTGGCATCACCCTTTCCTGCTAAGGGGAATACCCATTTCTACTTCCCATATACACACATACACATGATTCAAGAACTTGAAGAATGGTATGCATTTTAAATTTCATTTGTTTGAGATCTCACTCTGAATGTTGGTGCTTGTATGTGTGTAATGATATCACTTGATATGGGATGTTAATAAGTGGTCCTTTTTAAGTATTACTTCTAAGACCCATTATCAACACACACATGGGAATAAAATTTGCTTATTTTGGGCCTGAAGTATGTAACAGTAGGAGGAGGCATATAGTAGGAGGACTTTTGATCCTAAGAATAGAATTTTGTGATCATCTTGGTTAAAAATTTGACCCTCACTACAGCTTTTGACTTAGGAAGTTGATGCAGAAATTTTAAACCATTTACTTCAGGATTACCTAGGATAGTATATTGCTTATACAGATCTTTGGCTTCAAGTCCTGTACTTTTTCTGCTACTGTAAGTTTCTTGCTCAAGATGGAACATTTATTGGGAAAAAAAATTAAAGTGCAAGAATTTGGATCAGTGTAGAAACAAGTTTACAATTCAGCAATGTACCTATACAGCTTAAAAAGGAAAGTCAAATCTCATGTGTATAAGTAGAAAAGGATCATCTGTAAGCTTCTTCACTCATATAACCAGTGTCTGAGCAGCAACCAAGGGCCTAGTAACAGTCTGAGTGGGCTGGATGTGCAGGTGAGTGAGTCAGTCCACAGAGGGTGGAACTACTGAGAACTCACATCTCAGGGTAGGTGGTAAGGAGGTGGTCCAGGAAGCCTCTGAGGATTGACTGGAGTGCCTTCATGTGGCTTCTCTGTATAGCTTGGGCTTCATAGCATGGTAACTTCGAGGTAGTAGGACTTTTTGCATGTTAGTTCATGGCTTCAAGAGCAAATCTTCCAGTGAACAAGTAGAGGATCATGGCTTTTAAAGACCTTCCTTCAGACCTTCCACGTAGTATCACTTACAGAATCTGCTAGTTATAGCAATCCCAACCCTGCTGAATTAGAAGGTAGGAAACATTCATCCCCCTCCTCTGCCTGTTACTTTTTGATTGAGAACAGAAGCATCAAAGAATCTGTGTCTATGTTGTAAGACTTGGAACATTTACGATAGAAATTTTGCTCTTTCAGATATTATTTAACATTGCTGTTAGTTAAATTATTATTACCTTGAGGGATAGCAAGGATGGTAATCAGTCCTGAGGTTGCTTTAATATTTTGAGGATACCTGATATCACAAAGTTCAGGATGCTACTAAACGGTAGTTTATGGGAAGAAAAACTATCTCCCAAGTATTTCACTTTGAGGAACAAATTAAGAGTCCGTAAGAATGCTGGAATTTGAGCTAAATGATAATGAATGGAGTAAGATTTAATTGCCAAAAATAGATATAACATAGTAGTTGTTTTGTTTTGATGTAGGATTGAACCTAGGACCTTCACAGTAAGCCCTTTTAAAATTTCTTATTTTGAGACAGTGTCTATCTCTTAACTTTTTCAGGCTGGGGTTGAACTTGTAGTCCTCCTGCCTCACCCTTCCAGAGTGCTGTTGTTAAGGCATATACCACCACGCTTGTCTTAGAAAATGTTTTGATAAGCACAATAAACAACAATAAAATTCTGATTCATTTTCTTTTCCATTACAGTGTTACAGTCTACAAATTATTTTCTAGTTGAGGGTAATCCTTTTTAAACTAAGTATTATTTTAGATTACTTGAATAAGATTAGGACCATTTATTTTTGTAATTTCAAAGCTATCCATACTGTACCTAGAATTATCAGGTCACTTAAGTTATACCTCACAACATGAGCATTATATTGGAAAAATATTGCCAGTGAAATTTGTAACCTAAGAAACTTGTAAACTTTTCTAAATTCTATACTTGAACTGGAATTTTCCTCTGATTTAGGACTATTTCACCTTCTCATAAAAACTCAGTTTTAAGGAGATTTAAGAGTATCTTTAATACATTTTTGAAAATTTTTAGTGTTTTTATGAAGCATGAATAGATCTAATTTATAAACAATTTTGTTACCTGGATAGTTTGATTTCCTGCCTCTAAATTTGGCAGTTTCCCTAAACTAAAGGCATCTGAACACTAGTTAATGATGTCTCTTTCTATGGGTTGTTCATGTCAACTTTGAAATTTTATAAATATTATTATAAGAATCTTTGTTATGCCTTGTAAAGGCTTATAGTATTATAAGTATTTAAATGTAAGAAAACTGTTCACTTAGCTAATACTTAACAACAGTGCCTGTTAAGAACAATGCACTATTCTAAGAGCTTTACATTGACTCTTTACAACTTAATGAGGAACCTTAGAATTGAGGAACTTGAGGCTTAGAGAGGTTTAAAATCTTGCTCAAGGTCATTTAGTAAGTGGTAGAAGCTGGATTTAAATCTAGGTATTCAGGCTCCAGAGGCTGTGCTCTTTACATGTATATGCTTTTATTAATTGTAAGGATAAAAATGATGTTCAATGGATAGAACCTATTTTTAAGGTAGTATGAAGACCTTGAATATCAATCTGTATGTACTTAAAGGTTCTATTTTGCATTTTTACAATTTGTGTTCTTTTCAGTTTGTCTCCCAGTCTAACTGCCAGCAGTTCCTGAACACTGTTTGGTTTGGACAGATGTCCGGTTACCGACGTAAACCCACCTGTAAGAAGATAATGACTGTTTTGACAGTTGGCATCTTTTGGCCAGTTTTGTCACTGTGTTATTTGATAGCTCCCAAGTCTCAACTTGGCAGAATTATTCATACACCTTTTATGAAATTTATTATTCATGGAGCATCATATTTCACATTTTTACTGTTACTAAATCTATACTCTCTGGTCTACAATGAGGATAAGAAAAACACAATGGGGCCAGCCCTTGAAAGAATAGACTATCTTCTTATTCTGTGGATTATTGGTAAGTATCAAGTTAGTTCAAAAGATTTTGCCTTTATTTAGCCCATTAGTTCTTCCTGGGCTGGGGATATAGCTCAGTGGTACATGTGCCTGCCTGGCAAGTACAAGGTCCTGAGTTTGATTCTGGGTACCAGAAAAAAAAAAAGCTCTTCCTTACTTGATGGCATTATAAATACCAATTTGCATTTTTGTACTGTTCACACAAAAAGATTTGAACATTTTTATGCTCATTGAAGATTTAACTAACACTTTTATAAAGATAAAATTTCCTGAGCTTATATAATTTAATATTACTTAAATACATAAAAGTTTAAAATTCTTTTTTCTCAGAGTATGAAGTTGCTCATGACTGTTGAAACTAAAAGTAACATTTAACAATGAGTATTGTTTTATGTAAGTATAGGGATTTTTCTTAAGTATTTTAAAACTGAATTTTATACTCATATACATTTTACTAGTTAACTTCTGTTTCACTGTATGATTAGTTTTCTTAATAAAAACTTAAGTGCACTTTTGCACTTATATCTTACTTTAGCTCTATTACAGAAATAATATTTAAACTTAGATTTAAAGGAGTCCCTGGTAACTGATTACATAAATCAGTTCCTTTTACTGAAAACCAGATCTTTTTAGAAATGATAAGTTTTAGGGCAAGGGATATCACTCAGTGGTAAATCCTAGCAGGTGCAAGGGTTATATCTCCAGCATTGAAAAAATGACAAGATTTTGAAAGAGTAAGACGTTTTTATTTCCTGAAAACTATTTTTATAAGTGTTATACTTTTCTCCATACTGTCAGCCTTGTTTTTAATCTCAGCATTTTTCATCTCTCCACTACTATACTAAAGATATTAAAATTTAGTCATTTTGTATATAAAGAATTGATTATATTCATCTTTGATATATATTCTTGATAATTTGTTATTAGAAAATTCTTTAATAATGTCCCCTTTTCAGCTATAAAAATAATTTTATGTGTTAGAATTTTAAATTAACAATCAGTTAATTTCATATAATTTGATTTCAGTCAGGGTTTTATTTTCAGCAGTATTCATTCCATGACACATTAATGTTTAAAGTAGATAAAGTAAAAATATACACATATATATGGTAGCTAGTATAGAATTAAATAATTACATTTTGTTTATATTTTCCTGTACTTTTTGTTATTTTATCTAAAATTTAATGTTTTAATTTAGGAAATAATTTATACTCTCCTTATTTCACTGTGTATATCTTTCCAGTGTAAATTTTGTTTATAGTTATTTGAAATATTAAAAAATTAGGTTGCAAGGTATTCTAAGAAGCACTTTCCCTCTATTCACTTAAACTACCTCTGAAAGATTCTTATATATATCTTAATGAAATTTTTAACATTTATCTATATTATCTAAATAGTAGTAAAAATATTTTTGGTTTATGTAAATTAAAATTCAGCTTAATCAAGTCTGCATAAGTGTCAAATTAAAGTTTCCATGCCTTAGCAGTGAATTACAATTTACTGAACACAAAGTGTTAGACTACTCTTTAGATAGCATAAATGGTGCTAATTTTCAAAATAATGGTAACCACTGCTTTTCAAAATAATGGTAAAACTGTGGCTGTTTCCTTATAAGTTTGATGACCCTGCTTTTGGTAACATTATATGTGTACACACATGTACTCCTCTCTACACACAATATGTTAATTTTCTAAAAACATTCTGCCTTACTTGAAGAATGTGTGCGAGTTGAACCAGTAAAATTCTTGGAACTGTTTTACTTTCTCAGCACAGCTTCTTCTTTGAAACAGTTGTATTTGAATAAACTTTGCCCAAGATGTCTTCTTCACCATGTTAATGTAATTTGATTGTTCTGGGCTCCTTGTTATCTTAGTTACTTTTCTCGTCACTTAGACACAATACCCAGTACCCACAAGTTAAAGGAGGGAAGGTTTATTTCAGTTCACAGTTTGTAGGGTTTCGGTCCATAATCCGCTGTATCCAAGGCAGAGTGTGGCAGAGGAGCAGGCATCACAGAGAAGAAACAATCCATGACAGAGCAGGCAAAAGGAATTGAAGCAGTGAAGCAACAGCAATAGGCTTCCCTTTCCCTTTTATTCCATTTGTGCTACAAGCCTTTTGGGTGGTGCTACCGCCACCCAAGGGTGGGCCTTCCCGTTGTCCATACCCAGAGCTGTGCTAAATGAGTAAGTGGACTAATTTAGTTATCACACCCTTCATCCATATTCACACACCTGTAATCCATATTCACTCACCCTCGATCGAGCCACCTCCAAAAATCCCCACCTATAAGCGCATAAGGCTTTGGGGTGACATCTAGATACAACCCACAGCAAATATATAGATCCAAACCTGCTATAAATGACTATGTTGGAATAGTTTGTTTGCCTAAAGTAGCTCCTTGGCTCAATACTCAAACAATGAGTGGAGTAACTTTTTATTCGTGATGATCAATTTTTGTGTATTTGTTTCCCATTTCTATTGTGTAAGTCTTCAGAAAAAAGCAGAATTAAGTTATTAAAAAGCAAGGTAGAGGGAAAGGAAAGAGTTTTGTTGATGAGTACACAGGATTCAAATGGTATCCTTCTTCTTAAGTTTTTATTGTTAAACATCATAGAACAGCTATTATAAATGTATATTTTTTAAAATATTGTATACCTACTTTGTCCTAGCGTAGCCAGAAACAGAGATGACCCCTGCATTCCTTGCACTAATAGTCAAATTAAGGTTAAACAACAAAACATCAGTAACTTGAGACTCACAAAGGTAAATGAAAAAAATCACAAATGAGTTATGTGTTGAGTAAAGATCACAGTGCTGAGAGAGCAAGCAAGCAAGGGGGATTTTATCTAGTCAGAGAGGGTATAAAAGCTGTTTTGAGGAAGTAAAAATGAGCTAAGATCTAAATTATAAAAGTGAATCATCTATAGGAGAATTGGAAAAGTATTGTAGGTTGAGATAGAGTCACATTCACAAGCATAGTGGTAGAGAAAACATGGTACAAAGGAGACTGAGTAAAGGGTCATACTACTGGAGCAAGGAGAGTAAGGGGAACATAGTTCAAGATGAAGCTATAGAAACTAGGCTATGCACAGCCATGTATGCTAGGCTAAATAATTTTGACTTCATACTAAAAACAGTGGAAAACCACAGAAGTTATAAATAAGCAAGTGACATGATCTCTCTTGTCTTTTAAAAAGTGTCTTAGTTACTTTCTTATTGCTGGGACAGAATACCTGACACCCACAAGTTAAAGGAGGAAAGGCTTATTTTAGCTCACAGTTTGTAGAGGTTTTAGTGTATAGTCGGTTGGCTCCAAGGCAAGGTGACCAAACCGAAGGCATCACAGAGGAGAAGCAGTCTATGGCGTGGCAGACTGGAAGCAGAGAGCCTTCCTTTCCCTTAGTAGTCCATCCAAGCTACCAGTCTATTGGTAGATGCCACTTATACCAAGGTGGGGGGGCTTCCATCTTCAGTAATTCTATCACCTATAAGTATATCAAACCAATCAGTAGACTGATCCAATTATCACACACCCACCATCCAGCCACCCCCCAAAACTCCACCTATGAGCACTTGAGGCTTTTGGGGGACATCTAGATATAAGCCATAGCAAAATGATAATTCTAACTATAAAGTGCAGAATTGTGTGGGATAGAAGGGTAGGGCTGTGGCAGGAGCACCGGAAAGGAGACCAATAGGAAGCTGTTAGAGATTACATCTGGATTATGAGAGCTGTTTGTACCCTGGAATAATAAAGAGAAGGAAACAAATGAGAGATATTTGCCAAGGTAAGAGCAATAGGACATGGAAACACATGGCATATAAGAGGTGTGAGGGAAAGAAAATGATTAAGCAATGTAGATATTGTAGAACACTAGGTTTGTCAATCTGTGGGAGGGTAAATCTTGAGTATATTTTAGGAATGTTGTTAGAAGTCTCTGAGATATCTAAGGAAGATGTCAAGGCAGACAGGAGGATGTAGTATGGAGCTAAAGAGGAAGTCCAAGCTTGTGTTACAATTGTGTAAATATATACATATAGATTGTATATGAAAATGTGGGAATGGATGAAACACCTAAGGAAAAAGCATAACATGAAAAGAGAGGTCCTAAGATCAAGCCTTGAGGAATCCCAAGATGGCTGGGATAGCTTCTGACTAATGTTATTATTTTTTAAAAATAGGCCTAACAAAATAGAGCATTGATTATGCAATGCTTCCATTGATTATAATATTTTTTGTTGTATAGCTCCTGGTCCTAGGTAAAGGTTGGAGATGATCCATTCTTACAGTTCTTTGATCTGCTCCTTCCCCAAATAAAAGCAAGCAGTGTTTCAGCTAATAAAATATTACCTGTCAGACTCTTTCATTTAACATTTTTGACAGTTTTTAATTTACTCATTTTGAGTAAAACGTACCTAAGGGGAATTTCTTAAGTGTGTTACATCATATCTGTAAAATTTTAAATGTTTTGCTTCTATATAATGAAGATATTATGAACAGAGGTTTCAAGAATATTTCATGTATTTTATAAGGGAATGATTCTGCCTACTAGTTAGCCAAAGAATGATTCTGATTGGCTTAATTTGATCTTCACCAATGTGTTATATTATACATGATATTATCTGTTACTTATACTGTCCTTTAAAATGTCTTGAGAAGGAATGTACCATAAGACTATTCTGGGTTATATTACTACTCTCTGGTACTCTTAGAAATATGAAATTATGCAGGAACATCTGAACAGAAAGAGGGGTTTTGCTTTTTTTTTTTTTTTTTTAAGTATTTTTGTATATAAGGCACTATTCAGGACATTTGGGACATCTGTTAGTAAAACAATGATTCTTACCCTTAAAGTAGTTACTTAGAGTGGATTGATAATAGAACTAATAAGCAAGTTATACCCAACTTTAGAAAGTGATAAATATTACAAAAGAAAGGCAAAAGTAGAGCTAGGGGAATTGGGAGTAGGGGCCATGGGGCTTTCAATTTTTAAACAGCTTGGTCAGGGAAAGCGGTGAAGAAAAAAAGATGTGAAATGGTAGATGAGTTAGTAAATTGGATATCTGGGTGAGGACTTTGAAGAAGACTGGAATGGTGAACAGCAGACAAAGAGCCTCTCCAAGATTTGGTGTCTAGACACTGGAATGTAGCAATGTGAGGAAGAGAAGAAGGAGGGAAATGGGTACCTGGAACCCAGTAAGGATATGAAGCAATAATCTAAGTCCATAGGGAGAGCAAAGAGAGAGACTTTAATGAAGAAGGAGGTAGCAAGCTGTGCTTTCTTCCTGAGCCCTGACTCACTATGTGGACCTACAGATGCACAGCGACTACTAGTGATCCCAGAGGCCTCCACAGAGAAATGTACCAGTGGGATGGAATAGTGGCCCTAGCAGACCATAGTGGCTCCTGAGTTAGTAGGGTTCAGATGTCCCCCAGGAGAGGGCAGTTGACTGGTAGCCATCGAAGAAAGTGGCCAGTAGCTGTGGGCTGGCTTGAGTAGCTCCCAGAGTGAGGCAGAACAGAGTTCGAGTTGGCAGGAGGTACACAGTGTTTCAGGCTGAACAAATCAGATTCCAGCTTCACAGCAAGAAATAAGCCTCAAAAAAAAAAAAAAAAAAAAAAAAAGCCAGCCTGAACTTCTGAACTTCAGTAAATTAAAGATGCAGGCTTGCTGGGATTATCCACTTCCATGCAATAAATCTCTGGCTCACTTGCTGGGATTAATCAGTACAGATCTGAACTCTCTCTGTGCACTTTGTCTACCAGTGACAGCAGAGACATACTTAAAGTGGACTTCTTTTTCTTCTGTTTTATTTTTTCTTGTTATTATATGTGTAAACATTGTTTCTAGTTTTTTTATTGTTGTATTCTTGTTTTTATTTCTTCTCTCTTCCTTGTCTTCTTCAAGAGTTTTCCAGAGTTTGTGTAATCTTCCTTTGTGCTCCAGCCTTGCTTCTGTTCTCCTCTTCTATTTCTCTATTTTTCAAATCTAACTCCTTTTAAATTTTCTCTCCTGAGGGTAAAATTGCCATACTGACAGTGTATTTACTGTGTACAATTTTCCGATTTGTTTTAGATTTTGGTCTATAATCACAAATCTAGTTCATACAGTTAAGGGTGGCAAGTAAATTATCACTTTCTAGGCTGTGTTTGATGCTATTGTTATTGCTGATTGTACTACTTTAGCCAAAGTGACATAATTGTGCTAGTCATTTACTCTTCCTGATATGCCAAGACTGAGATTGCCTAAGGGTCATAAAAAATTCTACAGGCCAGTACAAAAGAACCAGGAATGAGGCCAAATAGGCAGCAACTTCTCATCCCCAATAATTTGGAGAGGTAGGATCTTGCAGACTCAAAACGCAAAAGCCAAAAGCCACCTCTGAGTGGTCATTTCCTAAGGGTTCTAAAGACTAGCACTAAATCTATGTGCCATAAGCAATTCACAAGCATCAACCTGGGATTTAAATTGAAAAAAAATGATGGGAAGACACTCAAACAAGATGCAACTACAGACATCCAGTTCAACTGAGGGAGCAATAACGTGGAACAATTTAAACACCACCCACCTGGATTCTCTGAAGTGGTAACAGTGGAATTAATAAAATAGATGAATGAAACTCTGGAAAAAATCAAATCAGAAATAAATTCTCAAATAATGCACAGAGAGTGGCCATAATGAGACATGTTTACTGATTGTAGAGCAGATACAGATAAAAACAAAATAGAGGCACTTAGGAAGATGATGGAAACCATGAATGCCCAGCATAGGAAAGAAATGGAATCTGTATCATGGATTCAAACAGATAGGGGATTGAAAATTCCTTTGAAAATATATGCAGCAGAATGAGCCACTGTGAGGAAGAATATCAGATCTAGAAGGTAGGATTGCAGTTAGCGATCATGAAGAAAGACTTCTTAAAAATAGCAAGGGAATATGAAAAATCAATCCAACAGCTACTAGATGATGCGAAGAAGAAGAAGAATATTGATCAGAATACATGAAATAGATAGTGCAAATGACGTTTAAAAAAAAACCTGTTCACAGAAGTAGTGACAGAAAACTTCAAGCATGGAAAAAGAATTAGGCATACAGATAAATGAGGCCTGTAGAACTCCCAAGTAGCCATGATTAAAAAAAGAGAAAACAATACTAAGGTATGTAATAGTCAAGATTCCAGAAATTTAACACAAGAACAGAAAAGTAAAGGCTGTTAGAGAAAAGAAACAAATCACCTATAAAGGAAAGCCCATCAGAATCACAGTAGACTTTTCAGTAGAAACCCTCAAGTCAAGAAGAGATTGAGGTATTTCAAGTCCTTAAAGAAAACAACCTCCAACCCAGGTTGATGCATCCTGCAAAACTATCTCAAAACTGATTGGGAAATAAGATGCTTCCATAACAAAGAAAGCCTGAAGAAATTCATGACCAACAAACCAGCACTCCAGAATATTCCAAGGGACATTCTAGAAAGAGATAAGCACTACAACATCATGAATCCCCCAAAAGAAATCTACCAGACAGCACAAGCAATTAAAGGGAAAAGACAGGGAACCAATAACAGGAAAATGACATGGACAAATCAGTACATACCAGTTCCAACCATCAATGTGAATGGCCTCAGTTCACCTATCAAAGGAAACAGAGTGACTGAATGGATCAAGAAGCAAGATCCAACAATATGCTGCATACAAGAGACACATTTAATTCAAAAATTCATAGACTGAAAGTCAAAGGGTAGAAAATATTCCATGTGACAGGGGTAGCTATTTGCAGACAAAGTAAATTTCAAGGAAAGACTGACTAAGAGACAAGGAAAGTCACTACATCTTTGTAAAGGGAACAATCCAAGATGAGGAAATAACGATCATAAATATATTTGCAGCAAATACCAGTGTACCCAAGTATATATAAAACAAATATTAATGGACATGAAAAATCAAGTAAATGCCAATATAATTGTATTGGGGGATCTCACTACCCTACTGTCACAAAAAGACAGTCAACTAGACAAAAAAATCAACAATGAAATACTAGAACTGAACCAAACTTTTGAACAAATGGACTTAGTAGATGTGTACAAAGTGTTTGACCCCACGTCAGAATATACATTCTTCTCAGCTGCATATGAGACATTCTCCAAAATAGGCCATATACTAGCTCATAGAACATACTTAAGTAAATGTAAAGGAATTGAAGTTATCCTGTGCATATTACCAGACTATAGTGCAGTCAAAGTGGAAATCAATGGTAATAGAAGCCACAAGAACTTCATAAACACATGGAAATTAAATAACACCATCCTAGATATCTGGCTGAGGAACTTCCTGCCAAAAAGTGTTTTGAGGCAAAAACAACAACAATAAACGAACAAAAAAACCCACTTAAATTGTAAAAGAATGACTCGTTCCTGTATTGAAAATAGATTTTAGGGAGATAACAGTAGAAGCAAGGAGACAAACTAGCTAACTTAGGTACGTGAAAGTGGTGGCTCAAAGTGGTTTTGAGAAATATATTTAGATCCTAATTATATTTTAAAAGTAAAGTCAATAGGTTTTGCTCTTGAATATACAGTTAAAAAAAAAAAACAGAAGGACCGGATACTTGAAGAGCATTTTGATTGAGTAACTAGAAAGATGGATTCTCCATGAGCTGAGATGAGGTAGTCTGCAGGTGGAATGAATTTTGGGGGCAGAGATTAAGAGTTTGGTTTGGAGATGTAGTTGGAGATGTAGACTAGCCAAGTACTTTTGTGTAGAGAGGCTTAGAGAAATTATAGGAATGTAAGTTGAGTTTAAATGTATACATTTGAGAATCTTTACCATACTGATGGTATTATTAGACTGGATGAGGTCACTGAAGTAGTAAGTATAAGTAGCGAAAGAGAAGGACCAGGGCCAAACTGTGTATTTTAGTTACTTTTGTTGCTGAAACAAAGTACCTGACATCCAAAATTAAGGACGGAAAGGTTTATTTAGCTCACAGTTTATGGAGGTTTCAGTCCACAATCAGATGGCTCCAAGGAAGAGTGCCTTGGCAGAGGGGAACATCATGGTGGTGGGAGACAGCAAAAGCAAGAAGAGCAAAAGGGGAAGGGAAAGCCTCTTTTCCTCCCTTACATTGTGTGCAGGCTACCCATCCTAGCACAGGTATACCACTCATGCCCCCAATCCCAGCACTAGACAAGAAACTAATCACAAATTCTAAATTCAGCCCCCTTCAAAAAGCCCCCCCATGACCACATGAGGCTTTGAGGGAATATCCAGACATAAACCATAGCAGTGTGTGTGTGTGTGTGTGTGTTTAACATCACTTTGTTTTCTAAGCTTGTTTCATATATTTAACATCTCCGATAAAGAAGAACCTTTTTTTTGAGATGGATCTCCCTCTGTAGTTCAGGCTGGGCTTGAACTCACTTTGTAGCCCAGGCTGCACTCAGACTCACAGTGATCCTCCTGCCTCAGTCTCCCAAGTGCTGTGATTACATCCATGCACCACCACACCTGGCAAAGAAACTTAATTAACAATATTTTATTAGGTCAACTGAAACCTGATTATTATCTCTCAAATTTTAAGAACTTTCCTCTAAGAAGTTCTTGTTTTTCTTTTGAATAAGGCTGTAGCTAGCCCAAGTGTAGTTATTCAATAACTTGACTATTATTTAGCTTATGATTGAATTAAGAAAGTGTTATCTAATTTTGTTCTTCCTTTTTTAGGGATGATTTGGTCAGACATTAAAAGACTCTGGTATGAAGGTTTGGAAGACTTTTTAGAAGAATCTCGTAACCAACTCAGTTTTGTCATGAATTCCCTTTATTTGGCAACCTTTGCTCTCAAAGTGGTTGCTCACAACAAGGTGACTATTTACTATGTCAATTGAAGGCACACGAGTGTATTTCAAAAAACTTTTAAGATGTTTAACTATGTAAATCAGAGTTACATAGAGCCAATTCTGTGTCTGGTATGTTTTTATTTTGAAACTTACCTATATGCATACAGATTTCTACCTTTCCAATAATTTAAAGAATGTACTTTTAAGCCAGGTGTGGTGGCATGCACCTGTAATCCCAGCACTCGGGAGGCTGAGGCAGGGTATTGCAGCAAGTTTGAGGCCAGCCTGGGCTACATAGTGAGTTCAAGGCCTGCCTGAACTGCATAGCGACACCTTGTCTTGAAAAAAGCCAAAAAAAGAAAACAACAAAAAAATGTATCTTTAAAGGATGTTACCTTCAATATATTAGGTACCATGGTTGATATTTGATACACTTTATCTCATTTTATCCTCACAGGGACTTTATGAGACAGAAGTCCTTATTCCTATTTTGCAAATAAGAAAAATGAAGCTCAGAGATATTAAACCAAGACTGGATTTAAGTCCAGGTCTGTTTAGGCATTTTCTTTCTATTAAATGCCAATTCTTTATATCTGAGCTAGGTTCATGTAGTTCATTAACCTGTATATACTTTAAATGAGGACATAAAATGATTCATGTTAAATGCCTTTATATTAGTCTGAAAAAGAATTTATCTTAATGAAATACATTAGTATTTGACACATTTCAAATCATGGTTATCTTTTACAGCTTAAAAAGTGATGATATAAGTGTAATTATTTTTTCTGATGAGTATATATTTTATTCAGAACTTAATGCAAATTTAGCTTTTGAACATACAATTTTCTTTCATCAAGATTTATACTCTTCAAGGCCAGAAAGGATAATTAGATATTATGTTGACAATCTTTAAGTCCTGAGTTTAGAATTCTTCTGGGATGACACAGTCAAGTAACTAAAATATATAATATTCTCTGCATTTTTACTGATTTATAGATTATAGAGAAGAGAAAGTGATTTTCTTATATCAGTTTACCTTATTATAAAAATTCTATTCCTTTAATTGGTAATAGTATGCAATGTATTGTTTAAATACATTGGATGGCAGAATGTAAAGTAACTAAGAAAAATTGATCCTGTATAGATAAATAGTTTGATAAAGAGATTACATGGCATTGCTTTTTCACACTGATCTTTTTAGTTCTATAAGTAGGGTAGGCCTATAATTTATTATCCAAACAAAAAGACATTTTGAAAGTAAAAGGAAGTACTACTAGTAATTATGTGCAGACAACTGGTGTATATCCTAGACTATTCCATGCAGCTCAGCTCAGCTTGGTCTTCCTTCTTCTCCACCCCACCTTCTTCCCTTCTCCTCCCCTCCCCCTCTCCCCTTTTGCCTTTCTCTACTCTTTTTCCTCCCTCCCTCCTTCCCACCCTACCTCTCCCTCCCCCTCTCCCTCTCCCCTTTTGCCTTTCTCTACTCTTTTTTTCCCTCCCTCCCTCCCTCCTTCCCACCCTACCTCTCTCTCCCCCTCTCCCTCTCCCCTTTTGCCTTTCTCTACTCTTTTTCCTCCCTCCCTCCCTCCCTCCTTCCCACCCTACCTCTATACAGTGATTCATTCTATAATCCTGAGTCAAAGGACTAGGTTGGCTTACTATGATAGCTAATTAATTGACAACATACAAACTTAAAGTTTATGTTTGGGAATTTAAGAGTGAATTTATTTCATTCTTAAAATTTTAATGACAATTTTAAGAGTTTTTAGTTTTATGTTTTTTAAAACCCAAGAATTTCTTACAAAATTTCTTCGTATAGATTGATATTGTCTCATATACATAGAAATCTTTTATGTACTTAAAGCATTGTTTTATTAAAGAAAACAAACTTTGTAAAGCATAAATGGAGATTCCCTCTATAAGGAAACATACTAAAATAGTTTTCTTTCAGAAATTTGAGAATATTTGTTTTTATTTTCCTGAGTTGAGAATATTGTTTCCCTTTGGCTTTTCTCTGAACCCTAGTTTCATGATTTTGCCGATCGGAAGGACTGGGATGCGTTCCATCCTACACTTGTGGCAGAAGGGCTTTTTGCATTTGCAAATGTTCTGAGTTATCTTCGGCTCTTTTTTATGTATACGACCAGCTCTATCTTGGGGCCTTTACAGGTAAATAAAGTTTCTTAAAGAACATTTGTCAGATTTCATGATTATTTTGTCATTCTACTTAAACATTGGAACATTGTTCGCTCATGATGTTAAAATTAAACTTTGTTTTGGAAAATGATTAGCAATTGGGAGGAAACACCATGTTCATCTACATTGCCTCTGGCTCAGTGTTAATCATTTGCTCTCAGGAAGTTAGGGTTTATTAAGCCGGAGTCTACTGGCTTTCTTCCTTCACTGCAAGAACATAGATGTGTTTAAAATATAGTTATAATTCAGATAGTTGCATACCATGAAAATCTGCTTTTTACCGAAATCAATCTCACATTTAAAATTTTAAGTATTTTGGGTTATAAGAGAGGTCCTGTGTAAACAGAAATAAGTGTTTTAAAAATGTAAGTTTTATTTAAAATATTTTACTTTTGTAAAATAAATATTAATGTCATAATTTGGAAAATAACAAAATTCATAGAAATTAAATAGTCCAGCTTTAGTTTTTATATTACTTCATATTTAAGGAAACTTGAGTTTTTGATGTTACGTGATTTGTACAAAGTAGTATCATTATTAATGTGTGAGAGTCCAAAGCTAAACTTAGTCTCTTCATATAAAAAAAGGATTCAAAATTAGTTGAATTTATACCACAGAGTTTATTAGTTTTAGGAGGAGTCAACTATCGTAGCTGTCCATAACATTCTTATGACTCAGAAAATGTGAACAATATTCATTTTTCCTTGGTAAGTCACAATTTATTAGTAATTTAGTACCATTATACCTTTTATATTTTTAGAATTTTTAGTGCCATTGTAGTGCCATTTAGTGCCATGCTGTAGTAATTGCTATAACTTTGTAATGTATGTTAAAATCAGGAAGCGTGCTACCATTAGCTTTGTTCTTCTTCCTCAGAGTTATCTGTTTGCATTCATACGAATTTTAGAACTGTTTTTTATATATATGTTAAAAAAATGCCATACGAATTTTGTTAGGGATTGCATTGGATCCATACATCAATTAAGGTAATATGGACATTTGTACAATATATTTTCCAGTCCAGGAACATAGGGTCCCTTTCCATTTGTTTGTACCTTTTTAAATTTGTTTCATCAATATTTTACAGTTTTCATCATATGTGTTATGGTTTAAATACGAAGTATCTTCCAAAGACTCACGGTTTGATCCTCAATGCAAGAGTGTTGAGATGTGAGGCCTAGAAAGGTGATTGAATCATGAGGGCGCTGACCTCATTGATGGACGCATCCAGTGATTAGTTCATTAGCTGACTGGGATGTTATGAAGTAGGACCTAGTTGGAGGAGGTAGGTCCCTGGAGGTTTGACTTTGAAGGATGTATCTCATCTTGGGCTCTTTCCCTCTCTGTCTCAATGTGAGCAGCTTTCCTTTACCATGATCTTCTGCCCTGATGTTTACACTTTGTAGCCAGCTTAACATGGACTGAATTCTCCAAAACCATGAGCCAAAGTAAACGTTTTTTACTTTAAGTTGTATACGTTCTCCTAATTTCCTTTCTAGATAGCTCATGTATAGAAATAGTAACTGTTACTTATTTTATGTCCTGAATCTATATTGAATTTTTTTATTAGCTTCAACGGTTTGTTTGTGGCGTCTTTATGGTTTTCTATATAAAAGTTCATATTGTATTGAAGCAGGGATAATTTTAATTTTTGTCTTTCCACTTTGGATACCCTTTTTTGTTTTTTTTTTTCTAATTGCTTTAAATAGTACTTCTACTATTATATTGAATAGAAGTGTTAAGAGGGAGCATCCTTGTCTTGTTCCAGGTTTTAGTAAAAATGCTTTCGTTTTTTTCAGTGGAATATGGTTTGATCTGTGAGCTTTCATATATGGCCTTTATTGTGTTGAGGTAATTCCCCTGTATGGCTAGTTTGCCTTTGTTATGGTGAGGTAATTCCCTCTATGCCTAGTTTGTTTAGAGGTCTCTTGTTTGAAGATGGGCTCTTGCGCACCCTAGGCGCAGACAGTCTTCCTCATTATCCTCCTGTGATTACAGGTGAGAGGTTTTTTGTTTTTGTTATAAAAAGAGGTTGTTAAATTTCACCAGACATCTTTTGTAGGTCTATTGAGATGATCATGTGGTTCTTGTCATTCATTCTTTTGATGTGGTACACATTTATTTTTTCTTTGTATCCCAAGAATAAATTCTTATGGGCTAGAAGTATGAGATTTTAATGTGCTTTTGAACTTCAATATCATAGTTGTTATTGTTGAAGGTTTCTATATCTATATTCACCTAAGATGTTGACCTATAATTCTCTTTTCTTATAAGTGTCTATGTTTTCTGTTGGTATCAAACTAACGCTGACCTCATAGAATGAGTTTGAAAGTGTTTCCTCCTGTTCAGCTTTTCCAAAGAATTTGAGAAGGCTTGGTATTCATTCTTCTTTAAATGTCTCTTAGAATTTCCTATGAAATATGCTTGACCTGGGCTTTTCTTTGTTGGAAAATTTTAATTATTGATTAATCTCCATGCTAGTTATAAATCTTTTCAGACTTTCTATCTCCTCATGACTCAATCTTGGCTGGTTGTGTTTCTGGGAATTTAGTCATTTTTTTCTAGGCTTTGGGTTTGCTGGTGTATATTTAATAACACTGGTGTCTTATAATCCTCTATTTCTTTGGCATCATTTTAATGTCATTTCTGATTTTATTTTTGACTCTTTTTTTCTTAGTTTAAAGGTTTGTCTTTTTTGTTTGCCTCTTCAAAAACGGTTAGCCAGGCATAGTGGCACATGCCTATAATCCCAGCACTTTGGAGGCTGAGGCAAGAGGATTGCTGCAAGTTCAAGGCCAACCTGGGCTACAGAGTGAGTTCAAGGAATCTGAACTGCAGAGCGAAAGCCTATCTCAGACAAAAACAAAACAATTGAAACAGTTTCATTTAATTTTGCTGTTTTCTATTTTCTAATTTATTACTGCTCTAATTTGTATTATTTCTTTCCTCTTGCTAACTTTGGGCTTAGTTTCTTTTTCTTTTTCTAGTTTTAGTGATAAAAAGTTTGACATTTTTTAGTGTAGGTGTGTATCACTATGAAATTCCTTCTTATTACTACTATTAACGCATCTCATAAGTTTTCGTATGTTGTATTTTCATTTTATTCTTAATGTATTTTCTAATTTCTTTTATCCTTTTTGATTTCTTCCTCAAACCAGTCACTGTTTAGGAGGTATTACTTGATTTCTGCGTACTTGAGTTTTCCAGCTTTCCCTCTGCTGTTCATTTAGCTAAGACATGGTGGCTACCCTTACAGACTGCTAACGGAGACAAACATGAATGTCAGCACAAAATGAAAATGCTACTTAAGAGATAACAAGCAGTTATTTGGGGAACCTGCAAGAGGGAGTGCCTAGAGAAAAGCAGGAAGCCTCCGTGCAGGAGGGAACGTTTGCTGTGAGCCTTGAAGGGAGGAGAAGCTGGAGGAGGGCTGTGTGAGGGTGTGCAGCGAAAGCGTGAAAGAAGGCGGGGCGTCCTTGCACTTGGGCTGTAAGGAGGGCTCTGTGAGGGTGTGCAGCAAAAGCATGAAAGAAGGCGGGGCGTCCGTGCACTTGGGCTGTGGAGGGGAGGTGCGGAGGTGAGCTGTAAGAGACAAATTGGCTGATATCTGAAGGTCTCTGTGCCAGGAGTTTAAAATAGTTTCACACATACAGAGGAGAATTTTGAGCATGGGTGGCTTGAGTAGGTAGAACTTGATTAGATAATTATGGCTTTATTCTGGAAAAATTAGAAGAAAAATGACTGAAAGTTACTATTACTGCTTCTTTTTGTTTTTTAGCTTTCCCCTTGATATGAATGCTAATAATAATAACCTTTCTTCCAGAAGGTATTTAGGTTTTCACTGCTCTACATAAACTATATATGATGCTTTTTGCCTCTACTAAATTATTTCCTAAGGATAAATTTTCACAAATAGTGTTAAAGGACCATGCCTGTAATCCCAGCACTTGGGAGGCTGAGGCAGGAGGAGTGCTGCAAGTTCAAGGCCGACAAAGTGAGTTCAAGGCGAGTCTGAACTGCATAGCGAGTCCCTGTCTCAGACAAAAACAAAACAAAACAAACAGAAACAGTAGTTTCATTAAATTTTGTTGTTTTTTGTTTTCTGATTTGTTTATTTCTGCTGTAATTTGTATTATTTCCTTCCTCTTGCTAACTTTGGGCTTAATTTCTTTTTCTAGTTTTAGTGATAAAAAGTTTGACATTCTTTGCAAGTGGCTGTGTTTATTTTCTGGCACATAAGCAATATAAAAATACACTCTTGCCACTTGAATATCATTTGGTGCTATATTTTTTAAAGCTGCGCTAACCAAGTAGTTTGCTCTTTTCTTTTCCTTTCTTTTTTCTTTGCTTTTCTTTTTTCTTTTCTTTCCTCTCTCCCTCCATCCCTTCCTCCTTCCCTCTCTCCTTGTCTTCTTTATTTCTTTTGTGTAGTATGAGATAGGGTCTCATGCTACCTAAGCTGGCCTCAGTCGCTCCTGAGCTCGAACTATAAGCGTGTATCGCTGAACCCAGTGTCATTTCCATTTTTCTATTACCAGGTTTTTCTTTTTGTGTCTACTAGTATTAGCCCTGTAAATTTCAGTATTGGTATTTTAATTAGCTTTCTTTTTAAGTTTTCATATTTCTCAAGTAAAACTATCAAGTAGTTCTAAGTAAATATTTAAGAACATGTGATTAAGATATTCACAAGTATTTAAACCTTGTAGTCTTTCTCCGTTTAAAATAAATTTACTATTTTTTTAATATTTGCCTTTTCTATGAATATTTAGTGGTCTTCAAGCTAGTGTTCACCTGTGTAATACTCAACACTGTTCTACTTTTGTTTTTTTCCATGTTATACACGGAGTAATATGCTTTCAAAGATAAGTCATGAACTCTGTGGTGTCCTCATTTAATATTACTCCCCTTGATATTGAAATTGATCACATTTATTATTTAAAGCATTGTTTTATTAAAGCTGCTACTTTTTTACTAAATTTTAAAAATTAATATTCACAGTGATTCTTGAAAAACCTTACCTATAAGCTTACAGTGTTTAAGCTTTCTTCAAAGGTAATTTTTTCTGTACTTACTAAAAGCAGTTACTGAATTCTTAAGTCATAAGTTACTAAGTTCTCCTGCTATAATATGGCTTTATTATGAGCACTCACAATCTGAATGAATGATTTTCCCCCAAGCTGGCCTAATAAAGCTATCATTAATGAATACATTAAAAAAGAAAATTTGTTTCTTCTCTTTCTCACATATTTTGAGCTTTCTAGTTGTAAATGCTCCCTAGTTCTTCTGTCGGAATTTTGCAGAGAGGCCAAGTGAGGGAAGCATAAGGCTTTGGAAGTATATTGGTCCCAGTCACTGGTGCAGAGCCTGGGTTACTGGCTTCTTGTATACCTAAAACTGTTGGCACACTTGTCTGTTTAATAGCTGTCCTACGGTAGTGGGCCATAAGAGTGTGTCCACTTTCCTGTGGCTACATTTTTCTATCATTTGAAGTGGTCATGTGCGATGTTTGAAGGATCAACTCAATTACGAATTTAATTTGAAGCTGGATTTGATTAATTATATAAATCTGACTGGTTAAATTTGAGGAAAGATTTTTTTAAACTCTTAAGTTTTGTATCTTAAAAGGAATAAATGCATGTAATAAATGTGAAGAGTTATTAAGTGAAGTATATATCTCATCTCTCCTTTAACAAATAGAGATGGGTGCCATTATGTATGTATGCACACACACAAAATTTTCTACTTTTTTTTTACTTGATGTTTTGTAGACATCTTTCTATGCCAGCACATACAAATGTATTTCATTCTTTTTAAAAACAATATTTGGAATATTCTTTGTTTCAAGTTGTTTTTTCTTTCTACCTCCCAACAGTGCTGCACTGAAAGTCTTCATGTGTACATGTATCTTTTCATACTTCCTACCTATTGGTACGTTCCTAGGAATAGAGGTGATGGGTCAAAAAATACTGTCAGATTATTCTCCATATTTGTATTTCAATTTAAACAACAAGATTTATTAAAAGTAGCTAATCCCCAGGTGCTAAAGAAGTATGTAGAAGAATGAAATTAAGCTTGAACAAAACTTTCAGATATCCTATACAGGTCTGAATTACAGAAAATGCTCACACATAATACTTTTATAATGGACCCAGAGGAAAAGAAAGTTGATCACTTCAGCAAAAGAGTCTAGGGCAGTTCTAGAGAAGAAAATGCTGTCCTTTAGGAGTTTGTTAAAAATTGTTGTAAACATCAAAGTACTTTTTGTCGTAATTATTTTATTTTTGTAAACTTTAAAGAGAAGCTGTATAAATATTCGTTCCTCTTTAGGTTTGGGTAGGGTGTTTCTCTTTTATCCCTTATGAGCTAGGCCTTAAAAAAAACCCTCCAAATCCAAAGATTGTACTAAACATTTTTTAATTGTGAATGTGCAACACTTTTCAGGACTATCTGCTTTGTTCTTATGAATAATTCCTGTGCTGGTCAACTGGTGTTCTTTTAGCAAATGTAATGTCAGTGGGTAACTAGTGATCCAATTGTCAAACGTGAACTTGGCTCACTATTTGAAATAGGTGCAACAAGTCTGTTCACAAAGTCATATGATTTATTACTTCACAAATAAAGGCCTAGTGGGTGAGTTCCAGGTTATGTTTCTAAATTCAAGGTGTAAAATGTCTTCGCATCTACCGGGGATTATGTTTTTATACCATATTTGTAAGGTTTACTTGGCATATATTGCTGAAAGTTCAACAACTACAAAATGAAAGTTGTTGGTCAGTTGTGTATTCAGATGGTGTATAAATCGCTTGATTATTTGTTGAAAACAAAGCTTTGAGTAGCAGCCAAATTGTTGGATTTTTTTGTCACGGCAGGTCTTTTTGTCATCAAAATATAGGCAGTTTTGAAGGCAACCAACTCTCTTGCATGCCAGTATTGTTCAAAAGATCTCGATGCCACATCTGTCACCTCTCCATAAATCCTTTAGATTCTGACCATTGGGATTATAAAGTCCTGTTCCTGAGGCTCTTAGTTCAGATAGTGAGATGTCATGATAAGTACATTTTTGAGTATTACTATTGATGCATATAGAATAATATTTTCTTGTATTTCATTATTATTGTAGTTCAAAACATGTCATAGCATATTATTTGTTACAGACGATTTCCCACAAACGATTGAACCACACTGCTGGCGTTCCGTCCAATAGGTTTCACCCCTGGCAAGAACCTAATAACATTTTCTGATCGAATTCTAACATGGGATCGCTCAGATATACGTGACCATTTTGTACCATTTTTGAGTAGTTAGATATTTATTTACATTACTGTTTTCTTGCTCATCTGAATCACGGTCTCATTCTGTACTTTTCTGTCTGTTGTACTTTGCTAACTTCTTTGACTTGCATGATCCAAGCTGTCACTGGTAGCCAAGTCACCTGATGCCTTGCTTTCAGCCTCCTCCCAAAGTTGTGAAAGCAGATTTTCATGTGACATTGTACTGAATTGGGCTAATTTACAAGAAATCGAAAGAAAGCATTTACTTAGAAAATTATAAATACACAAAATGTAACATGACGCATAATATGGGTAACACCCATTTACACTTTGACAAGTGTATACACCTTGCCGCTCTTCTTATCAAATGGATGAACACAAAGATTGCTTCCTGTATTTCCCCAGTGCGGCTCCTGAGACACACAGTTGGTTACCATTATACTAAGATACATATTTTCATTAGAAAAGTATAGTATGAGGAACTTAATTACTATCTAGCTTTTCTCAGAACCTTACTGAACTCCTCTGTAATACATTCCACAGATTTCAATGGGACAAATGTTACAAGATTTTGGAAAGTTTCTTGGAATGTTCCTTCTTGTTTTGTTTTCTTTCACAATTGGACTGACACAGCTCTATGATAAAGGCTACACACCCAAAGAACAGAAAGACTGCGTAGGCATCTTCTGCGAACAGCAAAGCAATGACACCTTCCATTCGTGAGTACTTTTTAAAATTTTTAGTAAATACATTTCTCTCTGTGTTCTACGTGAATTAGCTACCATAGAAATGGAACTTAATATTTTTTTGAAATTTTTAAATGTTTGTAAACATTAACAAATACTCATTTTTTATGAATCATTTACAGTCATCTTTACTATAGAATCTTAAATAGAAGGTCCAAATTATTACACTTACGTTCTTTGCTGCAGGTATCTTAACCTTAGAGCTCTTGGCCTTAGAGGCAGTTCTTTTGTCGTGCCCACATGCTGACTGTACCCTACAAGTGTTAAGTATCACTAACATTTCTCCATTATTGAAACAACCAAAAAAACACATCCTCAACATTTCTGAAGAGGACATTAGAATTGAGAATCATTAAAACTTGATGAACAAGCGAGGTGTGGTGGTGCACACCTGTAATCCCAGCACTCACAAGTTCAAGCCCAGCCTGGACAATTTAGCAACTCAGCAAGAACCTATCCCAAAATAAAAAGGGTTGGGGATATAACTCAGCATGAAGGCTTTGGTATGTGGTTTTTTTTTTTGTACCGGGAATTGAACTCAATTCCTTGCCCTGACTTGCCAGGCGCTTGTACCACAGAGCTATATCCCCGGCTGCCAAAGCGTATCTCACTATCTGGACTAGCCCATGCAGTTTTGTTTCTTTTTCCTTTGGTACCAGGAATCGAACTCAGGATCTTGTGCTTGCCAGGCAGGCGCTTGTGCCACTAAGCTGTATCCCCAGCCCAAGGTTTTGGTTTAATCTACAATACTGAAAAAAAAAATCTCAAATATAAAGAATGGAACCGCCAGTTTTGAGATAAAATATATCCCCTTGCTCTTAAACAAACAAAACCGTGAGGAATTGCCTAGTTGTCTCCCTCTTAGATACCAGCAGTTCTTTAGTTACTTTGTGTGTCCTCTTATTTAAAGAATAAGATGAGTGAGTGTATGTTTACGTAACACTGACTAAGTCCTGAGGAGTGAAGCATTTGTGAGGACACCTACCCTAATGGTGCTTACATGCTAGAGAGGTGGCACAGACAATAAAAGGTGAGTAGAATATATTGAATGTCACATAATGATAAGGGCTAAAAAGACAAAGCATGGGCTAAGGAATATATTTGCATGGAAGGATGCAGCATTAGATTGGGGGTACAGAGTGCCCCAGAAGAGATGACGTTCAAGTAAAATCTAAAACGGGTGAAGGCACAAGCCATGAACAGGATGTTTGGAGGAAAAGCATTCATAGAATAGCAGATGCAAATGCCCAGGAGCAGGAGCATGGCTGATGTGTTCAAGGAAAGTCCAGCTGGCCAATATGGATGAAATATTGTAGGGTATGAAGTCAGGAAGGTAATAGAGATCATGTCGGACCTTGTTAGCTCTTGTAAGGATTTTGGGGCTGTTGAGGTTGAGAGCCATATGAAGATTTCGAGCAAAGGAGGGACAAAATCTAGATCCTATAGACTGTTATATTGAGAGTGGGCAGGCAGCAAAGGATTCGTTATCTTTTGAAATTATTATTCTGTTAACCTTGTTTAAAATGAGGCATATGTGTCTTTTGGAAATCAATCTCATTGATTTTTGTTTTTATAAGTATTATGCAAGGATTATTAATGCTTCATTTATATAATTTTGGTGTATTCATTTTGCTAATATCTTAAAGTTCCTTTTAAACAGAAGTGTAATTATCTTTACAGGTTCATTGGTACTTGCTTTGCCTTGTTCTGGTATATTTTCTCCTTGGCACATGTGGCAATCTTTGTCACAAGATTTAGCTATGGAGAAGAATTGCAATCCTTCGTTGGAGCTGTCATCGTTGGTACATACAATGTTGTAGTTGTCATCGTGCTTACGAAGCTGCTGGTAGCGATGCTTCATAAAAGCTTTCAGTTAATAGCAGTAAGTAGTCATTGCTTTAACCCTTTATGTTCCATGCCAAATATATGCAGTAGGTAAAATAATTGGAGTTTTTAAGAATTAAGAAAAAATATTTAAAAATTAAAGATTTCTAAAATGTAATTTATAATTATGGCAAATATTGAGCCAATTTGTTATCTACAAGGTATGGAACTAGTCAGTATCTGTCCCAATCCACTCTGGCCCACCTGCATATGTGTGTGTCCGTGCGTATGTGCGTGCACGTGCACGTGTATTCACAGTCTATATTGCTTTTCACTTGCCTTTTATAGAATCATGAAGACAAAGAATGGAAATTTGCTCGTGCAAAGTTGTGGCTTAGCTACTTTGATGACAAGTGTACATTACCCCCACCTTTCAACATCATTCCTTCCCCGAAGACGATTTGCTATATGATTAGTAGCCTCAGCAAGTGGATTTGCTCTCATACTTCAAAAGGCAGGGTCAAACGGCAAAACAGTTTAAAGGTAAGAAATGAGAAGTTTCAGTCACAGTAGAAGTTTTACTAATTTTAGATGTTTCTTCAAGCATAAAAATGCAAATTCCTTAAGGGCTACGACTGGTATGACTTTCCCGCTGTTGTATCCCTGATGCATGTCATAGTATGTGACATAAAGGAAGGCTTCAGTAACTATTTGACAGTGAGAGAACTAAAACTTGTTAGTTTTCAAATTTCCCTGGCTTGTGAAATCTCATATTTTGAAAACATGTAAGAGATTTCAGAATACCTGTTCTTTCACTGTAGGTAAAATGTGACTTCTTTAGCTGGGCATGATGCCACACGCCTGTAATCTCAGCACTTGAGAGGCTGAGGCAGGCAGATCATTACAAGGTCAGACACAGTCTGGGTTACATAGTGAGTGCAGTGCCAGCCTGAACTACACAGTGAGACTCCGTCTCAAAAAACAAAAAACTAATTGTGTCTTAGTTACTTTTCTCAGTGCTGACAGAAAATACCCATACCCACCAGTTAAGAGAGGAAAGGTTTATTTAGCTCACAGTTTGTAAAGATTTCAGTCCATAATGGGCTGGCTCCAAGGCAGGGTGGCATGGCAGACAGGCATTACAGAGGAGAAACAGGTCATGGCAGGCAGAAGGTAGCAAAGCAACAAGGGCCAACTGCAACTCTTTCTATCCCTTACATCTTATCTAGGCTACTTAGGGCAGGTAGTATCCACACGCTTAATCCTAGTGCTCTTGATCCTAGCATTGCACCGTGAACCAGCCCTAGCATCACAAACTCTAGATCCAGCCACCTCTGAAAGAGCCCCACCTGTGATTGCATGAGGCTTTGGAGGGACATCTACACAGAAGCCAAAATAACTTTAGTCAGCTCTTTTGTAATTATTATTATTAAAAATTACTCAGTACATCAGTAATTCGGTTCATGTTGCTTGTAATCCGGGGTTTGTCAGAGTTTTCCTGTAAAAAGGCCAGAGAGTAAATACTGCACACACTGCAGGCCAGGACAAAATGGAGATACAGTGTGAGCAGTGATAATGACAAAGAGAAGAAAAAATTGGCTCAAACTTGCATTGATGAAATTGAAAATACAAAATGTAATAATTGTGTCATAATCTTTGTAATACAAATCTACTAGTCAAAGAAAAAATTCCTTTATTAGGGATAAAATTTTGCTTGTAGCCTGTCATAAAATTTACTGCAAATGTTAATCTGTGAAAATCATCCTTAGTTAGCAGGCTGTACAAAAAAATAGAAAGTGGGCCGTATTGCTCTGTAGGTCATGGTTTGTTAAACACTGCTTTATACTGAAGATTCCTAAAACTAAATTTTTTAAGCATCAAGATAAGCTAAAAGGAAAATGAATAAAACAAATACGTAGCCTATCTAAAATAAGTATTGTGTTATTTTCTGTCACATTGTGGCAAAGCTATCATCTAATAAAGCATTAAAAGATGTGCTGTGTCTGTGAATATTTTTAAAATCCACCTCTCTTAAATACTGTGTCTGTGACAGGGCTGTAGCTTACTGGTGGAGTGCTTGCCTAACACACACAAAGCCCTGGGTGTGATCCTCAGCCCTGGGGGAGAGGAGATACATATACACATAATTTTGTGTATCATTAGCATCTGACTATTACTTGTTTTGAAGGAATGGAGAAATTTGAAACAAAAGAGAGATGAAAATTACCAGAAAGTGATGTGCTGCTTAGTGCATCGTTACTTGACCTCCATGAGACAGAAGATGCAAAGTACGGATCAGGCAACTGTGGAAAATCTAAATGAACTACGCCAAGATTTGTCAAAATTCCGAAATGAAATACGGGATTTGCTTGGCTTTCGGACTTCTAAATATGCTATGTTCTACCCAAGAAATTAACCATTTTCTAAATCTTATAGAAAACAATTTTCAGTATCAAATCTGAAAGACTTTATTTGCATAACGTGCAATTAAACCAATAATATATATATTGAAATAAACAATTATGTAAAAGCCATTCTTTAAAATATTTATATCATAAAAATGTAATGTAAAATATGTACATAGAATTAGTTTTTTAAAACTTGTCAATGACTTTTTACAAGAGCAAAACAGATTAAGTAGATAGTTTTTTTTGTTAGCATGCTGCTTTGTTTTCTTAATTGGATAGTACTTTAAAATGTTTTTCTTTTTATGTTAGAGAGGACCAGTTATAAATGTATACATTGTCTAAAAAGTTTTGTATAATGAAAAACAGCAAATGTGGGCTGATCTTCTGACCATAGGATACAGTTGAAACATGTAAGTCATGGTTTTTAAAATCTCTGTTTTAGGAGTTCATATATATATTTCAGTATTTATTGTTCAGGAGTATAGTTTTATTTAAAATCATCTTTATTTTGTTTCTTGTTTTGTTATATAACCTTAAGCAACAAAGAGGAAAGTCTAATCAATATTTGAATCTCTGTCTCTCAAAAGTAAATTCACTTTGCTTTTTGTTATTGTAATATATTTACTTTTACATGGTTATAATCATTTTATATTTTAAGTTTTTTCACTTAACAGTATTTTATATACATGTATATTTCCATATGTTGGTGTATGCCATGTATTTAAATTTTATAGAATTACAGTTTCTGAAAAATGTAGTCGGTAGATGTTTTTATTTTATTGTTATAGAATATTTGTTTCTGAGTCTGCATAGTTACTTCTCTAGGCATTTGGTTGCTTTTAAAGTTTTACTTATCAAAATAGTGCTATAATTTTTTCAAGTTGGAGTGAATATTTGTAATTATAAAATAGAAGATGCTTCTTTATCATGTGTAGTCGCAGCCTGTTTTGGTGTTGGAAAACATTGACAGACCCCTTAATGAAAGGATTCGTTTTATATTGAAATTAAGGTTCTTGAGCTCATTTCCCAAAGTATTTTCCACAGAATTTAACAGCTTCTTATAAAAGTGACTTCATGCTTATTTGTGGATCATTTTTCCTGCTTAAGATGCAAAGCATTGCTTTTTTTTAATTTGAAAATAATATATACATTTAAATTTTTTTCTGAATTCACATAAGGGATGTAGCTAAAATTTTTCACTATTATATATTATTGCAGCATTTCTAGTTAAGAAGGAATTTGGTATAAAATTACCTCCTTAACTGAATGTCAGATGGTCTTAAGGCCACAGGGTGCAGGTAGCCCTTGGTCTATAAGCACCACCAATCCAGGGATCATTGTCTAAATATGTTAGTATTATGTTTTGTCTTGCTTTTTAATTTTTATTTTTTTAATTTCCAGATTTTTAGTGTTCCCTCTTTTGGGCAAATTCTTATAAAAATGTTTATTGTAAAGTTATATATTTTGTCTACAATGGGATTATGCATTTCCTGATTGGGATTTTACATCAGGATTTTTAGTCATTCTAAAAAAAAAAAACCTAATTACTAAAATATTTATAGAGTGCCTCCTATATGCATGAATTACCTGTGAGGTATATTTTGAATGACAGCATATTGTAAGAAAAAAGATGAATAAAACTTGACATTAGATTATAAATTGACACAGTGTGTCCATTGTGTTATTCTACACTTTTAAAAATTGAGATCTAATTCATACTATAAAATTTATCCTTTGAGAATGTAAAACTAGTGGGTTTTAAACTTGTGATGACAAACACAAAATGCAAAACTTTGTCAGACTTCCTGTGCACCCTTTCCTGTTTCCAGTGGCAGTCACACTGAACTCCGCTATTTCCTCTTCGAATTATAAATCCTCACATTTTGAAGTCTGCCCACACGAAGACCTACATGTGAATGTTCATAAAAGCTTTATTCTTGGTCCCAAACTGAAAACAACTAAATGTCCATTAACTAGGGAATGATAAAGAAGTTGTACATTCATACAGTGGAAATCTGCTTGGCAGTAAAAAGGAATCATACCAGGTCAGAGTTGAGTCAAAAAGCAGAGCTTCTAGGATACTTGCAGGCATGTGTGTGTCTGTGTGTGCAGTGATACGTTTATAGTGTCTGACATTACACCGTTGCTGGAGTTGGGAAGCAGCCTCTGCAAGGCTGTTACTTTTCCATCTAATGCTGGAGCTCAAAGTGCATAGGGAAAGTGGGTGAGAAGGAGAGAGAGATGTGAAGGAGAGAGCAATGGCAAGATGGGTTGAGGCCCATGGCACCTCCCAAGTGTCCAGGTGCATGGTGTGGTATGCCCTTGGCTGCTGGCCTTGGCTGCTGGCCTTTGGAAGCGTCCTGCTAGAAACACAGTTGGCCCTGAAATCAGAGAAGGAGAGGATCCAAGGAAAGGTGGAACAAATGCTGCTGGAGTCATCAGGTGAACCAGCAGATGTGTTACAGGTGCATGTTACCAAAGTGCCTGCAGAAAGAAAAAGGCGCTGCTTTACTTCTGCTCTCCAGATCTCACACTAAATTGTCCCTTATGGTCTGCCTTAGCTGGAAGCATACGGGGAAGTGAATTCTGGCAAGCATAATTAGTCGTTTAGCACTGAAATCTAATGTATTATATTGTAGTTGTTTCAAAAGTAAATAGAAGCCTTCCACACTACCCCCATGAAGACCAGTACATTTGATCATTTAGAATTGTGTTCAGAGGAGGCTGGGGATTTAGCTCAGTGGCAAAAGCGCCTGCCTGGCAAGCGCAAGGTCGTGAGTTCGGTTCCCGGTACCGGAGAAAAACCAAAAAAAAAAAAAGAATTGTGTTCAGAGGGCCGGGGATATAGCTCAGCAGCACAATGCCTGCCTGGCAAGCACAAGGTCGAGTTCGATTCCCAGTAACCCCCCAAAAAAACGTATATCATAGAATTGTGTTCAGATTTCATTTCATTTAGATTAACATTTTTTGTAAATGTAAATAGAGGCTTTTGTTAATTGGTGGAGACACACACACACCCAGCTACTAATCATTGTTGGTCTTGAAAGATGACAAAACTGGGACTGTCCTTGATCTCGTTATTACACTCTTTACCTCTTCTGGTTAAGCAGAACTTTTTCATTCTTTAGATCGGTGATGCTGAACTTTTAGAGCTTTCAATGCTGACAAACAGCCAGTGGTGGCAAGTGTGCCGTAGGCTCACCACCACCGCTTTAGGCTACATTAAATTATCATTTTCCTCAGAAAATACATTTATGAAATACTAAATAGGCAAAGGTTATAGGCTCTGGAGAGCCTAATTAGGTCTCATTCAGAATTAACTAAGAAAATATTAATAGTATCAGTGTTACAGTTTGTGTCTAGTACCCCCCCTCAAAGCCTCATGCAGTTATAGGTGGGGCTTTTTCAGAGGTGGCTGAATCTAGAGTGTGTGGTTCTGGGACTAAGGGTATGTGATTGCTAAATCAGTCCACTGACTGGTTTGGTACAGCCCTAGTGCCAGTAGCATGGATAAAATACAAAAGGAACAGAAAAAAGCTGCCAAGGCCCCTTGCTTGCTTTGCTACCTTCTGCCCACCACAGACTTTCTCCTCTGTGATGGCTGTCACACCAACCTGCCTTGGAGCCAGCTGATTATGGAATGGAACTTCACAAGCTGTGAGCCAAATAAACCTTTCCTCCTTTACTTCGGGTGCTGGGTATTTATTCTCAGCAATAAGGAAGTAAGACAATCAGGAATGATGCTGGACTGACTTTCTCATCTGGAAGTTAATCTGTTAGCTTTCTGGCATTGTAATTATGCTGTCATTTGGGATGCTATACTTACAGGAATGTCCCATTACAGTATTTCTCTTTCTTTTGATAATTTCACAGTTTCTGTATCTTGCCCCTTCCTACATTCTGAAATTAACACCTCAGACATGCCATGCAAAAATTAGGAAGCATTTTATGTGCTAGTTATATACTTTAAAAATAACATCTTTAAGACACAATTTTTTAAAAATCAGATTTTGTTGGTATATTTTAGATATACACGATGATCGCATTAATCATAGAGAATTTGTACCTGTGCGTAACTTGGTTCTTTTTCCCCCCCCAGTCCTCTACCCTCCCTTCAACCCCTCCTCCCTCATTTACAAAAACTTCGTTTCCATTTTTTCCTTTAACAGACAATTTCTGATGCAGGTTAAATTACAGTGATATCAGAAGTAAAACTGATTTGTGTCAGAAGTAAAAATATATTTAAAAAGGAATCATGTCAACCTATCAAATTACAGATCACCTTCACATTTTCTTTATTCTGATGCTAGCAATCACACCCCTCTCTGAAACATCATTTCATCCATCCTTCAATTTGGGGCATATTTCTTCTTGCTAGAAGATACTAAAACTATCTAAGAGGCTGTTTTCAAAATGTTTGAAGAGAAAAAAGCACACGGTGCCTCAGGAATTCATTCAGAAATTAATTCTATGAAATAATTGAGCTTCATAATTTAAAAATTTCTGAATTTTAAAAAATTTTGATGGAAATCTGTTTTCTGTGTTTGTTTTAATGTAAATGTTTTGCTTTCCTTTTAAAGCTGTACAACTAGGCTACACATAGCAGGAAATAGTTCGCTTATTCCAGCCGCCCCCAGCCCTTACCTTAAGTATTATATCAATGTTGAATGACACAAATTTGTTGAATGAAAATTTAGGCATGGTTTATATACAAGAACATTGACATCCAATCAACTAAATACTTAAAATTGTGTGCTCTATTTCCTCAAATCGAACTGGAAGAAAATTCAGACTACCTGCTTCAAACTTCTAATTTAATAGATCAGAAAACTGACACTGTAAGTAATTTTTCCAACGTTGTATGACGCACTTGGAAATCTGTAACTCAATTTATTCTGTTGGGTGAAATATATCCAAAAACCTTGCTTTTTAAAAATGAATTTGTAAGTTCATCTTGGTCAGCAAATACATTTTTAAAAATGTTTATTAGTCCCTGATTTTCTACAGGACTAGTTCCTTAAAGTCTTTTATGACCAAGGTGAAAAAGAGATGAAAATGAGTAAAAGTTTGAAGAGGATGCACAGTAAAATAGTATGCACAGACAAGAACCTTAACGTTAGTTAAGCAACCAGGCCAGGAGAGACCAGAGGGCTCAATATGGAGAGGTTAGATACTTTTTAATCTAATTTTCTTGGTACACTTTAGGTATATGTAATAATCACATTCATCACAGAGAATTTGTACCTCTACATGATATAACTTGTTTCTCCGCCCCCATTCTCCTACCCTCCCGTCAACCCCTCCTCCCCATTTTCAACAGCTTTGTGCCCAGTTTTCCTTGTTTTTTCTATTTTTACTTTTCCATTCTTTCCTCCCCGCTCTTCCCTTGTTCCCCTCTGCATTTGAACATTTTCTTCGCATTTCACAATGCCTGTTATACATTTTGGTCCTTATATACGCTTGGTTTTTCACACCAGGAAAACAGTGTGGTATTTGCACATGTGTGTCCAGTGTATTTCACTTAGGAATATGGTCTACAAGATAGGTATTACTAATTTCTATTAGTTCATTGAAAGGAATGGTTTGTGCTTGTTTTGTTTGTGGATCAATTTTGTATGTCTATTTCTTGTAGTCTGAGCAACTACTTTGAAGATGATAATATGCAAT